TTGCATTTTTTTCTGCTTGTTAGGCGTAAAATAAGTGAATAACAACGACAATAACAAAAAACTGTTTATTTCATGTTATGTTTTTTATTGCAATTCATAACTCTTATTTTACAGAGTTAAAAGTATTCTGCGTTGAAAATATAATATATATATATATATATATATATATATATATATATATCGTAGACTGGAACTTAGTTTAAACAAGAAAACTAAAAATATTATTATTCTGCTAGCTGCTTTTTATTGTTTGTGAAAGTTATATTTGAAATAAACTCAGCGACTGGAGTTTAGTTCAAATATAATTTTCACAAACAATGTCTTCTCGATTATTTTTCAAGCTTTAGACTACTTATACTAACTGATCACCTTATAATACTATGTCATATTGTGGTGTATCCATTAATATTAATTGTACTGGTTATTTTGCGTAGACATCTGTTTATAAATATCTGTACTTTTTTCATGATCGTTGTGGTAGTTTTTCAAGTCTCAACTCCGTTGAGTAGAACTGTCTTGATGTTCGTATTGAAGATTCTGACATCGATATTGGTTGAAAGTTAAATGATGTCTTTGCTTTATCAATCCTCGCCTTTACATCTACATCAGATGCTACTTGTTCATCGACGATGCTGTACAGATATGTAAATGTTTCAAACTATTCCAGAGTTTCTTTATCAAGTGTGATTGGGTTGGTGTTCTTTGTGTTGTATTTGACTATGTTGTTTTTTCCCTTATGTATGTTGAGGTCCACTGATGCAGAGGCTTCTGTTACACCAGTTGTCTTCATTTGCATTTATTGGTGTGTAAGAGGTAGACTAGCTAGGTCATCTGTGAAATCTACATTATTTAGTCACATTCAATCTATCCATTGTATTCGTGCTTCCCGTCAGATATGAAGGTCTTCATAATCCAGTCAACCACCAGAAGAGGTAGAAAGTGGGAGAGTAAGCAATCTTGTCCGACTCCGTTCCTCACTTGGGATGCAACTGTCAGTTGTCCTCCATGCACAACTTTGCAGCTTAGTCCGTTGTGTGAATTCCGGATGATGTTGACGATCTTCTCAGGTAAACCATAGTGTTGAAGAAGTTCTCATAAGGTCCTCCTATCCACATTGCCAACTGCCTTCTCATAGTCAACGAAGTTGATGTCTAGTGACGAATTCAGTCCAATCGATTGTTCAACAATGATCCGTATTGTCGCGATTTGATCTGTGCACGACCGACCCTTACGGAATCCGGACTGTTGATCTCAAAGTTGGGCGTCTACTGAAACTTTCATCCGGTTCATCAACGCTCTGACAGTAGTGTGATGGCTCTATAGTTCTCACATTCGTTCAGATCTCATTTCTTCGGTATCTTGATGAAGTACAAACATGTGTTAGTTGAAAACACTAAGTTACTTGTGTTATATATATAAATCGATCTTTACCGGGCATATTGACGAAACCCCTTAAATAAAAAAGCCAACGTTAACTGCACAATCCACTGCCTAATAATTGATGATTCATTGTCAAGCACCGGGGAATTATTTGCAAGAAGAAGCAATCAATAATCATGTAAAACAATAGCTCCGAATGCAATGAAAGGTTTCAAACAAAAATAAAACATCTGATTTCATTGCCCACTATTAAAAACTACTCAATGATAACCATGATATTTATACACAACCAAAACATTTTGAAGTGTTATCATGTACGTATTTCCTGAGGAAAATATTTCTATTGATTCATCAATATTTACCATAAACACAAATAAACTGGATCTAGTATTTTTTTGATTGAAACGCCAACTATTACATTTTTAGTCAGCTTCATTGATTCGTTTAACATAATTATTAAATGACTGATAAAAAATTTATTAACAGTTGTTGGTTGGGACATAATTCTCATACTTGTTTGATATACAATTCAACGTAACAACGTTTTAAAATTATTTCCATTAAGGGAATAATTGTGTTGGAATCTGTAATCAAACTTAGACTTCATATATTCATAATTTATGAGCGCTCAGTACATAATTAACATTAAATACTGATAACACTGGTACTATTCTCACTAGATGCAATTAGATTGTTTGAGTTATACCTTCAAAAAGATTGGATAAGATATATTATTTGAAAAAGTCATTAGTAAAGCTAAAGTTCATATAACTCCAATGAATGTGTTGAACCAGTGCAATTTCCACGACGCGAACTAAGAACACCAAGACTTGTACGATTGATGATTTATTAAACCTAAAATACACTCATTATATATTGATTGCACACTCACTTCGATTAGTAATTAGAATAAAACCATATATATGAAAAATACTCAAAGTTGGAACAAGTCACATGCTGCATATCATACTGAGCATAGTTCATGTTAATTTAATACAAGGAGTATTGTATCTTGAACAAACACATCACACTCAAATAGATTAATGTTATAGTGAATAAAAGATCACATTGGTAAACAAAATAAATACTACACTGAATAATCACCATATTGAATTTTTAAAAAAACGGAAGTAATGTTAAGCGGAAATCACAATGAATCGAAATTTTATTTGGACTTTTTATCTCGTCTTATCAACTAGGAAGTATTTTCTTTCTTATTTTGATAACATAATCTGATATATTTTGTTATGGCAGTGAAAAGAGTTATTTTCATCTTTAGATTAAAATTAGTAATCAGTTCTAGTGTTGTTTTAAAATTGATAAAGCCTTTGACCGAGTATCTTCATAATCACCTACAGACTCGATAGTCTTTATAGTATAGAAATTCTCAAAAGAACAGCTGTTTTTTTTTCTTTATTTCCACTTCTGTCGTTATTTCACAGTAATTTCTTTTATATACTGGTAACATTTATGTCTTTGTTTTATCACTTCATTCTCGTTTTAATCTATTCTCATAATAATAAGCATTTTCTGTTAGAATAAGAAATAGTTAAGCATATGTATTATATATTCCGATCAGTAGGCCGTTTAAGTTTGACTTGAATTATGTAACATAATTTAAAAAGTTTTGCTATTCATATATTTTTGAATTGATGAAACTAAAAGCCAGATCACTATTGTTTAAAATAACATGTTTAAATATATAAACCAAGGTTTTTACAATTTTGGTCAAATGTCATCGGTAGTAATAGTTTGTAGAAATATCTGTTTATGTGAACCCAAAAAGGGATGTATTCTCCTCTGTCGGATTCTCGAATTTCAATTTGTACAAAAATCAATACATTTTCTAAAGTGTTACTTATTTATTTCATTTATTTAATAATATATTTTGTCAATCATATAATTTTATGAACTTCTTTAATTGATTTCATTGATACCCACTGATTAGTAAATGTATTATTACCTGTATTATTATTATTATCATCACTATTATTATTAGTCATTTAAGTTGATTGTCATCAAAAAATTTAATGATAAACTATTATCGAAACTCCACTTTATGGAGTTTCTTTTCGTCATCATTATAACTATTTGCACAGGTACTCAGCTCTAGTAGACCTGTATATCTATTCGTTTATATATATAATCAACAAAAAAAAGAAATATACAAGACACGTAAATCAAAGAATTTATAAATGATTTTATTAAACCTAAAAAGTTTTATTACCCTAGAGATAAATTATGTAAAAAAACTTTGTACTAGAAATAGACTTTTGTTGAATTAATTATATTTTTCTCAGCAAACAAGCATAGACACCTCAAGTGTCCTGGAAATTTTTATATGGACTCTGGACTAATAATACTACTTCAAATTTTCAGAGTTATTCCTGTATTAAGAATCCAAATTGTTTATTAATAAATATAAATAGTATGAAAATATTCTATTAAATGTGTGTGTTGGATTTATGAAGTTAGTTCACAAAGGGCTTTGGATATAAACATTGTTTGTATATTGAAACTAACAGTATGAGTCACGTATAGACTGAACATAATTGCGATTTTTCGTTAAGTCTAAAGTTTTTACAAATTAAAAATTAGTAACTGTTACTCTTCAGTACGTCAACAGTCAACACTTTTTTGAATGTAAACTCGGTTGAAGTACTGTAAAAAATGCTAACAAAACTTCGATTTCTCTCCAAATTACAATTTTTCCATTATTAACCAGACTGTAACTGAGGCACTTAGGTACCAGTTGTCTGGTGATAAATTATGGAGGATTCATATGAATTGATTAAATAGAGGTACATCTGTCAAGGCCGTCTATTTAATACAACCTCACTATAGATATGATCCTAGAAACAAAACTGACAAGAACAAGGGTCCTACAGATTACTTGAATAACAAATTAAGAATGTTCGGGGACGCCGTCCTCTTCTGTTAAATCCTAATCGTTGCTTCAAGATTGCTGTTTATCAATACACCGGTTAATCATAGGAAGCGAAGTTATTGAACACATAGACAATCAAAATACTTCTTATGTCTCATCCACTCTTAAGCTTATATTCATCTTTGCTATTCTTGACATTACTATGTTCGCCAAATCCTGTTGTTTCGAACATTGTTAATTTCGTCTAACTATGCGGATATGATTCGGTAATTTAAGCAGATGTTTGTTTGTACCAAGTACTACGTGATTTATGAATGGCTGTGACTGCATCGTTTCACGGTATCACCAAACAGTGTATACGTTAGTATTTGCACTTCAGTATAATACTTACAAAGTTATACTTTGTTAGTCAAATTAAATGTATTAATCTAAGATAATGAAGTAATGTTTGTGCCATTATTATTTAAAGCGCATACAAATAGACATTATTTATTCTGATGTAATAATCCATGACGTATCAAACACTGCTTAGTGTTTTAAGTGAATCGTATTCTAACTGATCATATACATGAATAGACTAAATACCATAAATCACTTAAGCTTTATCCTAGCGAATTTCATTTAAATTTAGGCATCAACATTATGGTTACTGTTTTGTTTCTATATTCTAACCAGTATATCTTAATTTATAATAAGACTTTATTCTATTTTTGTTTATACTATTTCCTGCTAGAAAGTACATCTAGTCTTAATAATCCAAATAAAATTAGCTCACGAATACTTGAAGATGCTGCATTAAAATTATGGTCTAATTTAAATTTGGACAGAATAAATTTCAATAACGAATTGTTGAAATTAACTGCAAAGTTACAAGAAAATATTGCTATTAATTTAAATCATCAACATCAAAATCATCATCATTGTAACGACGACAGTGTTAATGATAATAACAGTAATAAGTTAGCACAGATTTTATCTCTGTCTAACTTCAAAATAAATCCATCATTGTCATCATCATGTTCCCAATCAACATCGTCATCTTCTATAATACATGATAATACGAAAAATAATGGCAACACTACTGCCACTACTATAAGTACCAATAGTGACATTCCATTATCGCTAACTAGTTATTCAACTGTATCACAAATTGCTCAGTTTGCATCGGCTGCTAACCTTTTCAATTCTACTGGAGTTGATCTACATTGTCCCACTAATTTTTATACAATTCAAAATGATAAACTGATTACTACTAGTTATAATACTGATGCTCATACAAATATTGCTGAAAACTTAATTTCTAACAGTTTGCCCACAACTATTACTTCCAATACAAACACTTTAGTATCTTGGAACAGTACTACGTCTTTTACAAATTACACAACTGCTCACTTCATTGATAATTCTTTTCGAAACCAAGCCAAAAATTTCAATTTGAAGACTGAAAATGAAACTTCATTTCATGTACCACAGCAACAACTGAATCTGCCTGATTATTATCATCATCACCAAGAACAACAACAAACAACGAAATTAAACTTTTGTGCAGCACAAGATGAGGAAATAAACAACTCAGTTGAATTGAAACAGACAAAATCGTCAACAGAATTAATCAAAACTAAACAGACATTATATTGTTGTTCCATATGCCGACAAAGATTTCATTCAAACACTGGTCTAAGACGTCATAATTTAGCTTTACATGCAACCAAAGCTATGAAATGTGACCAATGTGTGAAAGTTTTCAGGTAAATTTATTTACATATAGATATTTGTATTGTTGTAAAGTTTATTTGTTGATTTGAAAGGTTTGTAATGAAAAGAAAATATTATTTTGTTTATTTGTGTAAAGTTAAATATGATGAAAAAAATATTATATATATATATATATATATATATATATATATATATATGCGGTATTGGAAATAACGTTCCCGTCAACTAGATTTTTAGGAACTGATCTCCCAGGAGGTTTAATTATCGACTTAGAATACGCAGATGATATAGTCCTGTTTGCTGAAGACGCCGATAAAATGCAGAGTGCTTTGGTAGCGCTGAGCAACAATGCCAGGTTGTTGACGATACATTTCTACTTCACTAAATGCAAGTTGTTGCTTCAGGACTGGTCCGCGTCAACACCTGAACTAAGGATGGGGAGTAAAGTAGTCGGACGTGTTGCCAACTTCACTTATCTTGGAAGTCTGATCAGCCCTAATGGGTTGGTGTCTAAAGACAGCTCTCCCGGATTCAAAAAACTTGTTTGGCTTTTGCCGACCTATGTCATCTTTGGCGAAGGTGAGATATCCGTCTATCAATTAAGGGACGAGTATACTGTGTGGCAGTTCGTTTTGTCCTACTTTATGGATGTGAAACGTGGTCAATAAGAGTAGTGGATACTCGTAAGCTACTAGTATTTGGTCATAGATGTCTTGGAATTATTGCTCGCATCTTCTGGGATCATCGGGTAAGTAATGGTGAGGTTGGACGCAGAGTATTAGGGAATGATGGTAAATCAACTGATGAGGTTGTGAATCTTCACCGACTGAGATGGTTGGGCCACGTGTTGCGTATGCTTGAACACCGTTTACCACAAAGCGCAATGCTAACCGGTGTTAGGGATGATTGGAAGAAAGTTAGGGGCGGCCAAACCAAAACGTGGCATCAGTGCTTGAAGTCACTAAATTCTAGTCTGATCCATGTTGGTCATTTTTTTATTATTTATTTATTTTAACACCAAATCCGGTTTCGTCAGACCACACGACGGAGAACCAGATCACTCATATTTGCATCAGTAAAAAATTCACAAGTTCAATGAAAGACGTGAGTACTAGGAGAAATTCTGACATAGCTTTAGATCACCACCAACCGGTTGAGGCCAAGATAAAACTGAAGCTAAAGAAACACTGAACAACTGGACAAACAAAATTACAAAGGTTCAAGATAGACTCCCATCGACATACTGCCAAAGCCAACCAATTCAAGTTAACTCTCAACAACAGGTTCCAAATCTTACAAGATCTACTAGAAGAAGAAGAAACTACTATGGAGGACAAGTTGAAAGGGATCAAAGAATCATTAACTTCAACGTGTCAGGAAGTGCTGGGCCGTATGAAGCATCATCATCATAGTGAATGGATCTCCATCGACATCCTGGATGAGACTCTAGAAAGAAAGAACAATAAGACAACAATTAACAACAGTCGAACAAGAACACAGCACATCAATGCACGAGCTGATTACACAGAAGCAAACAAGCAAGAGGAGATCATTAGAATTAACAAGCAAAAATACATGGAAGACATTACAGCGACAGAAGGAAAAGCTACTAGAAAAGGAAATATAAGATAACACACATTGATATACTAACAAAACAATTTTAAATTGAATCTAGTTACTAAAACAGTAGCAGTAATTATTATAAAGAAAGAATAAACATGTTTTTAAATTTATCGATTAGTCTTACGAATGAATAATATATATATATATATATATATATATATATATATATATATATATATATATATATATATATAGTTTCAATTGCATGGTATACATTATATTGTCTATAATTTTTATGTTTAGACTATGAATCCTTATTTATTCACTAATATAAAATAAATTAATCTACAATGAATTATTCAAAATTAAATGATAATAATAAATAAATAAATTATTGATCTGCTATACATTTCACTATATCCATTAATACAATCATTATGACGCAATAAAAAAATGAAAACTATTCAAAATGATACAATAAATATAGATTTCAGTTATTGTATATGTTCATTTTTATTAAATTAAAGCCATATAATAGAATACAACATAAGTGAATTAAACTATGCAAAATGTAATACTTGTGTAATATATATATATATATATATATATATATATATATATATATATATATATATTTGTTGTCGTCGTGTAAGCTGTTCATGTTCGTTTTTTTCTTTCCTGTTCAGAGTACAACCGAATAATAAATGAAAGAAATAAAAGTGATAATGAACTGATATTTCAATATGAAGCTAGATTATTTTTTTCTAAAATTACTAATCAATTAACACCTATTTCATTCTGAATATTGAAGTATAAATATATTAAATGCCAAATAGTTATCATTAATAGCAATAGTTAATAATCATGTGGTGTCATGAAATGATTAAGTTTACAAAATTTAAACTATTGGCTAACAACCATATGATTTAAATAGTAACACACTTATCAAAGAGATTCCATAATACTGGGTTCTAATTTTGTTGATACATATATATATTCAAAGAGCATACTGATCAGGAGTATGGGATGAAATAATTCTTTAAAGCATTCTAGTTTTCTACTCTTTATTTAGCTAAAATTACTCCATAATGTAAAAATACAAAATGAACAATCTTCATAAGTCTAATTTTATTAATATCTATTTTTGAGGTTAATTAATAGATATCAAGTCGATATAACATTTATTATGTAAGAAATATAAATAATTTTTGTATGATTACAGATATTCATGACTAAAGAATTTAAAACTTTTACAAAACAAAACCATTATCCAAAGAACTTTAATATATGCCTTGAATTTAGTATAACTGTGTTCTTTGTACTTCTCTTAGTAAAGAAGTCATATTGTAAAAGAGATTGTAATAAAACTTAATCCAATGAAATTCAAAAATCAGAATTTAGTTATCGATTAACTAACGGGCACTAAAACGAATATGACTCATAATTAAATGTAGGTACATGTATTTGTGTAATCAAAAAAAAATAATAATAATTAGTAATCATTAATGTACTTTTAACCATTCACTCTAACTAGAGTTTATGAATGAATTTAATTAGTCGATTAAATAATTTAAGTAGTTGAGATCATGAGTCAATTCAAGCTAGACCACCATGGAAAACCTTGAAGCACTGGATGGCCGTGCGCATCCATGATCACTTCTCGCGAGATTCGAACCCAGGACTTATCAGTCTCGCGCGTAAGCGCTTAAACACTAGACCACTGAAACGACATCCATCGGTATTAATTTCTAACTTCAACTAATCCACAAAATTGAGCGACACATTTATCATAGTCTTCAGTGAGTTACTATCTCACAACAGAACTTCAGGAAATACCTCTTGAAGCCCGTCATTAGTGAGCATATGCGGAATCGTTAATGCGCACTGTTGAGGAGTCCCACAATAAGACAAAAGGGCCATCCAGTGCTTTCAGGCTTTCCATGGTGATCTACCTTGAATCGACTCATGATCTCAACTATTGAAATTACTATAATATCCACAAAAACCCTTTCGATTAAATAACTTTATTTAAGTAAATAGAGAGGATCAATTTGAACATTCTTCTGTTCAATTTTTATCTTATATAATTAGCATTAAAATTAAACGGCAAGAATGGATGCAATATAAACATTTTGTTAATTCAATTAACAGTTTAATATTATAGGATATTTGATAAACATGATCTATGAAGGTAATGGTTAGAACGTCTATTGCTTCAATCCTATGCTATTCATAACTTTCATGTCCATTAAGTAGTTTGATAACTGAGTTTTCAGACTGTTTTGGTATGCCTTCTCATACTTAATACAGCTTTTGATGATTTTGTTTCCAGTGTAATTAATTTTCATGTATACCATTTGATTGAAAACAAAAACTCAATCTGTTTTTATCTATTTTCCTCTCAAGGAAGATAAATTTTCAGGCATAAAAATGAGTGAGAAACAGAAACGAAATTGACAAGAGACATTTATCAATATGTGACACCAAATATTGTATAAATGAATTAAGTCGAAAGTTGTCTGTTTTTGTAAATGAGTGAAATGATCATTACAGCATTCACAAAATAATTTTAGTCATTATACTTCTTATTCACATTAAATAAAAAATTACAAATGACAAAGGAAATTAAATAAGTCATTAAATAAAATGAAGATAGGCGAAAGAAAATTTCTTTCTATACTACGATTACATTCATACATACTTTGCAAATCTTAATCTATCATGAAATTGAAAATCTAGTTGTCAGGGTTTTACAAAATCTGGTTTTCACTTGTAGGTTGTATTTCTCGTAGAGTGATCTCACTTAACATACTGTTGTAAACCAGGGAGGCACTAGAGAGCTATTTAGTCCTGGTATAGGACTACTAGATAATGTGCACTCTTAAATTCATTAATGATTGAACCTACAACCTTCAAACCTCATGATAAACTTTCAAACGTTAGAAACCTTGGGTTACCTCCTAGTGATGAAATTTTAACCCTGCTAAGTGTGAGAAGAAGCGTGACGATTAGCAAGTGTGATTAGTAACAATACTGTTTAAATTCAGCCAACCATGGCCTTTCATCAGGATTTCACGAACATCTTGAAGTAATTCATTAGCTAGTTGACTATTATAGTTTAGTTGAGCGAGTTTTGTGGAAATCGGTCATAGTTTGTAGTTTTTATTCATCATATTTTTCATCATGGAATCTAAAAATCGTGAATTTAATCTCCGTTGGCCTCGTGGGTGCAAACTGATGAGGAATGCCATACTAGGAAGAAACAGCTGTACAGTGTTCCATAATCATTATTGGTGCCTTAATTGAAATCACTCAGTGATGAATATAAACTATAAAATAGAAAATTGTTGCGAAGATACCAAAATGTGGTCAGAATTTCAAGTGTCGAACAAAGTTAAACAATAGTCTGAAAGTAAGAAAAACGAAAATAAAATATGGAAGAGAGTCGTGAATGTTAATTTTCAGCATTGAGGAATATAAGGAAGACAACGAAGAGATTAGTTTACGAAATAAGAAGTGATTATTAACACCACCTAGAATAAACAATTAGACAAAACGCCTCTGTACACATCAGTTGATAAATTCCTAAATTCTGAGTTATGTGCAAGTTTCTTTTGCAGCTTCCTCTAGAATCTGTTCGTTTTTGCTGATAAATTTAAATGAGGATTTTGGTAGAGATCTATGTTCAGAATATATCAGATTTTCAGCCAACATACTGTTGACTGACTTACATTCACCTTTAGAATGGCCATATTAATTCATGTTGGAATATGTGTTTGGAAAGCGCACGCTTTTTATGTCCAGTTTAAAGTGATAATTTTAGTCTGTTCTTGTTTAAAATTACTGTTATTGTATAACTTGGATGATGATCCTTATCCCTTACGAATAATATACAATTATCTATGAATAATGTGTGTATCTTTCATATTTAGCGAATTATTTTAGCAAATATTTTAATTAATTTCCAGGATCAAAAATCAGATTAAAATCTAACATAAGTTTTAAAGTTTAATTATCAATGTTCACTTATTATACGTTGGTCTTGTAAAGCTTTTGTACGACTTATATGTCATTTTATTACATTTAACAGTATTTGAGAAACTAATAAAAACTAGGTAACACTAGAGATCTATTTTTGTTCGATCTGCGCTCTCTAGACAACCCGAAAACACAACTGATCTATAAACTTTAAGTCCTCTAAATAACTTGGTGAATTGGTAGATAAAAAACGTGTATTAGTTATTGGATAGCCTTCAGCTGGCTTAATGTCATTTTTGGAAAGCCATGACCTCTGTAGTTAACAAAGATAGGAATAGGACAGTAACGTCAGGTTAAAACCCTTCTGATGTCTGAAATCCAAACCGTTTAATGAAAAAACTCACTGGCCCCTCACTATCATCCATAATGTGAACCCTGAAGGTCATGGTTTATCGTATGTTGAGTTGCAGGTTTAAACCTTTAGGGAATCACTAATTGAGATCACACACTTATCTATTGTTTTCTGGATATCAATGATTCGCCGACTGACTTTAGTTTACTCTTGTACCTACTTTCGAAATATAGGTAGTTTGTTGTACGTAACGTCTAACTAATCATTTGTTAATCCATAATAATTTGAACTGCTAAAGAACAACAAACATATAATCTACTATCTTATATGTAATCACTTTTCGAATTGTGTTTTGAATTAGGTAACTATCTTGAATAATTGAGTAAAATAACTTTTTCAAATATTATAAGACCTGTGACATACCCTAATAATGTGCTTCAGCATTCATTCCTAGTCAAGGATTTCGTTTCCAGAGTTTTATTATACTGGATTTTTATCATAGTCAACCAAATAATTTCAAACAAATTATCAGTATGAAAATGACTGAAAAACATTAGTGTCTAACTTTTGTGCTGATTATTAAAATGATTTAATGATTCTTGTGAACATTTATAAACTGAATATTAATAAATCACTTAAAAAGCAGCAAATTAAGTTATTATTTTGATTTATTTTGGATGTCTAACAAATCCATATCACCAGTTTTTGTGATTTCACTACGAGTTGCCGGATTCGGGGTTTCATTAAGAAGCGCAAGCCAGTCAGGGGTTTCCCCAGACATAACAATAGACAGGAATAACAGTGTATACTTGCTTAGTCTACTGGAAATTTTTAGAGCATTGTAATAGGATTTTTTGAAGTATCTTGTGAGGTTAACTATTTTTCCTTCAATGTTCAATAAAACTTCAGCATTTAAAATTTTTGAGCATTTCTGCCATTCATTTAGTGGGTGAGTGTTGTATATAAGAGCATGATTTTCAATGAAGTTTACATTTCCATCATTTAAAGCTATCTACGTATGTCTTCTATGAACACCTCATTGTAGTGCATCTTAATTTACAAGTTGAGAAAGCTGAATAGATTGGATGTCGCAGCCTAGAAGGAAGTCGTCAGTGAAAGTGACGCCTTCGCATGCACCTTCCACTGATTAAGTGAAAGGAAAAATATCCGGAAATGCTTGATATCGGACACATACTGAATAGTGAAAAACGCTATAAATTAGTGAACACTCATTTTATATTATAGAATCTTGCCATCAAATTGAATGCAAATTCATTGCATTTTAGTGTTCAATTAATAAATAGATTGTTTTAATGGCTTATTTACAAGATTATTGTTGTTGAGCATAGTAGTACGTAATGCATTCATCTTTCTCTTTTGACGTTATAAAATAGATAATTTCTTATGGAATAATAATGAAACTAGATTTACTGGTTTATAATCTCATCTAACTATAGAATCATAAAACTAAATGAAATATTCATCTCAGATTTTATTAACTGTCGTTATTCAAATTAGATGCACATTAATAGTTTTTTCCTCACTATTTCTGAATATATTTTCAAAATTTAAGGGGGTACATTAAGTGTTACATGTCATTTTCGTCTTTAGATATTATTGTTCTATTTCATCATGTACTGACAATGTTCGAAGTAGTCGCATAGTATCATTTTGTCTGTTAATCTTTTACGGTCTATAGGTCTTGAGTAATAAAAATTTTTCATATTTCAACGTGAGCAGAGATTTAAGATGCCTTGAGTTTTTGACTGTATCAATAACTTTCCTCTGAACATTAAATGAAATTTTTGTCAACTTTTTATTAATCATGATTATTTAGACATCAATCAGCTTTATCTGATCATAAAAAACGTGTTCATGGTCCACGTGAATATATTTGTGGTATATGCTCTGCAGATTTCGCTACAGAAACTTATCTACGTTCTCATGTACGAATTCATGATGAGAAACGATTTGTTTGTTTAGAATGCAAACATGGTTTTTCAAATCCATCTGATTTAAAAAATCATATGCGAATACATAATGATGAAAAACCATTTGAATGTGAAGTAAGTAAATTATTATTATTATTATTATTATTATTATTATTATTATTATTATTATTATACATAACGTTCATTGTGACATCTGAAGATGTTGGATTTGATCTCTGTTTTCCTCTTGAGTACAAAACTGAAGGAAAGTGCCATACTAGGAAAAAACAGCTGTACAGTATTCCATAATCATTAATGGTACCGTAATTAAAATCAATCTGTGATGAATACAAACTATGAAATAGAAAATTGTTACCTCATTAACGAAGATAAAAATTGTAATCAAAAATCTCAAGTGTAGTGTCGTTTTAAATATCAATAATTTACGTATGAATTGTAGTTTTCTGCTTATTCATGAATTTGCATAAATGAAAGTTTAATGTATATTTAAGCAGTTGCTAGTAATAATGATCAATATTTCGAGAAAGTTTATATTTTAAAACAGGAAGAAGTCGACATTGTCAACTAATGTATTTATTGAATTGTATAGTTGACAAATTTGCGACCAAGTACATAAGTGAAACGAAGATTAAGACTTGAACGATAATAATCTCTCAAAATTTCAGAAATATCATCTTCATGTATAAAAAGTTATTACTAAGCTACTATAAAGATATCAGTAGATATTGTTATATACCAAAATCTACTGAAATTAATAATAACCATTTCACTAACACGTAAGAATACCACTCATTAACAATCACACCAACTGAAGTCTGTCATTTTAGCAACTAAACTGGTTCAGCAGAGACTTGTAATTAATCAGAAAAGTTAACAAAACGATCACTGTAAAAATAATGTAACTCACTTGAAAGAAATCCGATGAATCATTTAAACCTCAAGCTTCACCGATATCCAAAGTCTAAGATTTAGGGCATTAGACTGAAAATCGTAAAGTTCGAGTGTTTTCTGCATTATCATTTTATAGAGCACCACTGACATCATTAGTAGTCTTTTGAATACATAATGGAAAGATGATTATTCAATTTTAAAAGTTGTTTTCCAGGAACCCTGAGTCATCAATATAGAATTTCTTTATAACTCACACCAATTTATCAATACTTAAATTCTTTATTTAAGAAATATCCTTTTTAATAAAATTTCATTAAAGTCCTATATAATTTCACTTAGTATTATTAACCTACTAGAAAAAATCAACCTAGTAGTGAAATTTTCGTTTGTTGTATGTTTTACTAAAATGGGTCAATTGTGAAAGGGATAGTATTTAGTTGAAGAAGGAATCAAAGAAGTGTTCATGAAAATGTGATTGGATTAAGTTGAATATTACATGAAGTCCACTTGACGTAACAAGCAGTTGAAGTAAATAGATTTTAATGAATTGGTATATAGTTAACTTAAAATAATGGAGTGAACCGATGGATAAGATCATTTTTAAATATGATAAGTATACTTTCATAATTATTTTGTTTTATTTTAACTTATAAAAATCAATGTTATATAATAAGGTTAAATGCATTTCGAATTTCGGTTTGCTAGATGGTACTGAATACTTTTAACGTGTGCTTAAATCCACACATATAAAAACAATACTAGCGAATATTGATTTAATATTTTACGTATATGTACTGGAATCTACGCTTCAAATATAGGGAAAAACATTACTTTGTTACAGTGGGCCAGTGAGAAGTCACCAAATAAAAAGACCACTTGTACCAGTCAAAGATCTCCTAAATGACAAATGCATGATATTGGCCAAGAAATAGTTTCATTTTCTAAAAAGTAGAGAATTATGTGAACGAATGAATGTTTATGCATGCAATTCGGTTTAGACCAATAAACTATCTTCTTTAGTCCTGGTTCTTTCGCTCAGCAACCAGTTGAGAACTTACATATACGAAGTTTGTATATCAGTGTCATACTCGGACACCGCAGATCATAATACATTATTGAGATTAGCGTGAAACGAAATATGTTCAAGTAGTTAGAATTCATTTTACCTAACAATAAATGTGGATTCAAAGTTAGTTGAATTTCACTAATCAGACAGAGAAGAGGATTGTATCAGGATCACTACTTTTATTCACTATGGTATAAAGGTGCTAATATACAAGCATTTATCCGAATGTTCATTTAATGCTAATACGCTTATAATATTACGAAACAGATCAAACCTGATAACCTAAAGATATTATGACACTTAACTCACTTACTCGTTGACATTTGTGCTTTCATTCAGTTCAGTTGATGATCACTTTTGTATGCGAAAAGATTTGTCAGCCTGCTCTCACTTGAAATGCCCTCAAAATACAATTTTCTAAAAACCATAAATGCATAACGTTTAGTGATTATGACATGAACAACCCGATAGTTTTGTAATCCATTCATTTACATTAGTCTCATTAAAAGACTAAGATAAACCATATATCTTTGTAAATTTTTTATTCTAATCCACCAACGTGATACAAATAAAAGAAAATGCTGGTTGGATAATTAACTACTAACTGATTATTAGGTAGTACAAATTATACACTAGAATATTGGTCTTAGTTTTACTTTATATTTCAAACAAGATTTTATATCAGTTTCTATTTAAAATAACAGATTTAACAACTAATATGTTCTTATTCCATTAGGTGTGTGGAAAAGCATTTCGCCATGTTAGTGGATTTTATGCTCATATACGAATTCATACAGGTGAAACACCATATCAATGTGAATTGTGTGCAAAGAAATTTAGTAATGCAAGCAATTTTCGCATGCACAGAAGGGTACATACAAAAGAAATGCAATTCCGGTAAACTTTTCACTCTCAAAATTATTTAAGTATTATAAATATATCGATTGTTTGCTGAAAAATTGATACTGTGAGCGTTATTTCATAATTAGAGGAAAAGGAACTTAATAATTTGAACTAGCATGATATAGCTCAAAAGGCGTTCTCAGTTGGGTCAAATTTATTCAATAAGTTACATTTCAATAGATCATGTGACCTGATTTTCAACTTTTCAGATATTTCTCTAGATTTACCCAAATATGCTATTTAAGTGGAAACCGATGGCAGGTTTTTTACTAGTTGACACTTGTTTGATGATTATACGTTTATTCTCAAGTAGCTAATGAACTAGATAGGATTCGAACCCGCTTTACGTGCCGTTGCAGTTTAAAGTGCTCCTATCAAAGTAACTCAAATTTTGTCGGTCTCCTATTGGACATTAACGAAGTATTAACTAATGGCGAAATTTTCTAATCCATAATCCTAATCGAATCATATTGAACAAGCTGTGATTGATCATTATCTCAATACATTAATATAATTCAGATGAAAGAATCAGTTTACTCGAAGCTAGAACACTTCAGTTATTGTGCAGTTTCTATTTCACAAATTATCATGGACCTTTCTATTCAAATGATGATGTTAATTTCTTTCTCTTTTATTTAATGACGAGATAATTTATTTATAAACAACAGCCTAAGATACAAACATACGTAAGTTACTTTCTTACACTTAGCAAAATGGGATTTATTATTTGAACCTTCAAACAAATGACCATCACTGACATGAATGATAAATATTATTCGAAAAGTCGGAGGCATTATTATTTGTGATTGTAAGTATTCAGTCTAAATCATTATATGATGGTACTTGTTTAGTAAATTGAACAAATTACTTTATAATTCACGTTAAATGTTGCGAATGTATTTTAATCAATAGTTTGACAACCGTACTTTTGTAGAAAATACAATATATTTAAACCACTGGTTCAAAATGCAATTTTTCACATTCTAAACTTTAGTCAATTTCAATATAGTACGGTCCTCGTTCAATACCTCCTTTTGAGTGAGACTATTTCATAGTTTACAACTTCCTATCAAAACTCTCACTAATCCATCACATCAACTATTATGTAATGAAATTGTAATCCGCCCCACCGAATTCAAGTGAGTATTCCCATTAAAATCCGAAGCTCTTAAGATCTATACCGTGTAGGATCTTGAGTGGGCACTGTTGAGAGATCTTGAATAGAGAAGAAACGGCCATCTAATGCCACGTATCTCTCAACAGTTGTCTCAGTGGCGTAAGTTCGTGGATTGCGGAAATATTAGCCTGTTAAACAAAAAATCATGAGTCAATTGAAGCTCAGTGGTCCTGGGTTCGAATCTCGCGGGGGGCGGGATCATGGATGCCCACTGCTTTCAGGTTTTTCATGATGGTTTAGCTTCAATTGACTCATAATGTCAACTAGTGAAATTTCTAAAATCTCCACAAAAACCCCTTCTAATTATTATTTCTATCTTGTAAGGATGTTTAGCTCCTGAAATACAAATATGAGTCATTTGGTATAGATATCACCCTAGTAATATTATGGGACGTAGTGTATGATTATGCGTGATCATTTATGCTGCACACGACATCGTTCCGTATAGCTACTTTGTTAAGCATCGATTTCAGCCAATCTATGATTCTAATGTTTGACTTATTTTTCCTGGTAACATTACATTTTGGTAGTAATTTCTTAATTATAATTATCTTTTTTCAATATAGCTGTCAAACATGCGGTAAAGAATTTATTCAACCAAGTAACTACAGTCGACACTTAAGAATACATACAAAAGAAAAACCTTATTCATGTAATTTATGCTCCGCAAAATTTCTTTATTCAACTTCTTTAAAACGACATCAACAACGTCATCATGGTTTAGAATTATTAAGATGTCAATTATGTCAGAAAACATTTTTAAATGAATCATGTCTTATTCGACATCGTACTGGTTGTGAATTACGCGCTTGTGTTAAAACGGCAGATGAAGAATTATACACTCATTTATTATAAAACTAATAATATAAAGAAAATCTATCTACATTTAACATGATAATTCTCTTTATACAAATAGAAAATAATAATAATGTGTCAACTTACATTATGAATGATAAATAATGAGTAGATTGTAAATCTTGTTTCGTTTAATTTATCTTTTTATTCGATAAAATAAATGTTCACTTATTTTTTTACACATCCAGAAGAAGATTATCAACATGGTAACTATGAGCACTATTTTTATTTGAACTATCTCACCATACTATTTTTTTTAAAGAAAAAATCTTTGATGATAAATATTTTACGTCATTTTTTTCTTTTTTTTATATTAAACCACTTTTTATTGGTTTATTTTTGCAGTTTGTTTTTCAGTTTTTAAAATCAGATAATGTGCTTTATCATACCTTAACGTTTATTTTTGTGAGATAATATTCGTAACAATGAGAATTAAAATAATAAAATTTATATTTCTTTTTTCACAAATAATTATTAATTTTTTGAAGCCACATATCCAATTTTTGTAAACAAGAACTCAGATTAGGGTGATTAATTTATTATTTATTACAAAATTAAAGAATATCTTGGCAAAATATGCGAACCATACATTGAATAGTTTATCTGCAAAATTCCATCATTTGACCTTCACATTCTGTATGGTTCTTCCAGGTCATAATTCGTTTCTATTTCCATTTCTGTTTTCTTCAAGTCGACCTCCCTAACCTTCTGCTATGTATTCCTCTTCTGGTTGGTGTTACATGCTACTTATGTCGGCAGACATGAGTTCTTCTGGATGACATATATCTACATTTATTTCCGGCCACCAGCATGTGAGCCTAGCCGAGGATTTCATTTTCTCAACACCTAAATGTTCTTCATAAAGATTTTCAAGGGCAGATTTGTTTAATGAAGGAAGAATAACAACACGACCATTTAAACACAAAATATCATGAGGAGTAGGGGATAATTCGTCCCGCTTTGAAAAAATAGACAAGAAATCCCCGTTTCGGATTAGCATTCCAACCTTTTCGTATGGCACTCAGTATACATCAACAGTACCGACGAATTTCTCTAAAGAGATCTGAATGTCTCAATGGTAAAGGTTGTACTAACAAACAGTCGTCAGTATTAACAGGTTTATCTTGTAAGGACTTTCGAGAAGTGTAGTCAACGTGTTGAATTCGGCACATCTGTGCTGAATCGTATAGTCATAGGCATACAAAGCAATACTCCATCGTTGAATCATAGAAGATGAGGAACGTGGTCAAGATTTTTCAGGATTATAAATGAACTTTAAATCTTCGTGATCTGAAACAATAGTGAACTCGTCACCAAATAAATATTTATGAAGTCGTTTGACAGCCAAAAACAAAAATAATTCTCGCTGGGTTTATGAATAATCTTGTCCATTAACAGTAATTTTATGTGAAACATAGATAGCTAGTCTACTTTCCTGCTCTAAAACTGCACCAATACCAACAAGAGATGCACCAGTAATAAGTATAGAATGTACACTAGGGAAGTAAGTTTGAAGAACAGCATCACTTTGAAGAAACTTTAGTAGACTACGTAAGCATGACTCTAGTTCCTCACTCCATTTGAATGAATTGGATGTCAAAATATTAAATAAACAATTGGCACGACAAGGAAAATTAGGAATAAAACGGGAATAGTACTGAAGAGCACCAACTGGTGGACGTAGATTTGTAAGTTTTCGGAGTTAGTTTATTTGTCAGTGGAGCCAATCGCTTCACATCTGGTTTGAAACCGATACCGTTCACAGGCATTTAAGACATTCGAAAACAGATATACAAGATGAACACCTATTTGGATTAACCGTTTATGATAATTAGAAGTATTTAAATTATAGTATGAACTAATAATCCGATAAATAACGCAATTGAATCAAGAAGTACTACACAAGCACTAAGGAATGTATTGTATTTAGAATTCGAAATCAGGCATTCAACAAGTACAAAGGAGTCATTAGTTCATTCAAACACCACATCCGCCACAGCTTAAATCGGAGTCCAGGTGTCTGTAATTGATTGCATGTCTTCTTCTTAAGTTCATCATGTGTCTGTCCGACAGTGTATTGGATAAAGACTCTGTATTATCTAGGATGCACTCATTAGTATTAGAATTAACAACCGAAATCGGAACAGACTCACTTGATTTCTGGGATTGTGAACAATCACCATGCCGGTTGAATACTGGAACCACTACCTAGGATATGAACCATAGACTATCCTCCCCTACGAAATAATGTCGGATCTTCATATCCCCAAGTTATGAATAATGTGGCTTCATTTAAAACATCTTTCTCAATTTGACTCGAGTAAAAATTTGAAGTGAATTTATGATAAGGACAAACAACAGTTGATATGGAATTATCTGAATTGTAATCAAACTCTAACTCATTTAATACTCGTGCTTCGCATCGAACAAGTTTCTCACAAGAAACAAATGCATCATGAGGACAAATAATATTTGATATGACATCAAGATTTGATTCTTCGGAAATAGTTTTCTCAAGTTTATTAAGAATGTCATTGCAGAGTAAAGGATCATTAGAAAAATCAGTATCAATCAAAACTACATCAGATTTTCGATCATGATTAGATTCATCCGAAATATTCTCGCCAGATTTGTAAGAAATTTCATCAGAAATATGTGAATCATTAGGAAAAATTATATCTGGTACAATAACATGAGCAACCTGATATGTTGACTCATTAGAAATTGTTTCCTCGCAAGGATTCTGAGTTTCATTTAACTCTGAACTGCTATATGACTCTAAATTGTCTTTTGAAATTGTTGATGAAGATAAATGATCATTATGAATACTCAACTTATTAGGATCAGAATTGCAAACTGATTGAATATTTCCAACATCACCACATTTAAAGCACTTATAATTACGAAATTTACATGAATTAAAAGAGTGGAACCTGCCACAGGACAAACATTGACCAAACATGTGCCCATCTTCGTGAACTGAATTGCAACTCCTCAATGAATTATCTGCATAATCTTGAGTATGCACTTTGATGGGGTGACGTAATGTAGTGGAATTTTTTATGTCCTCATGAATCGTTTAATGAAATCTCCCTTTACCGCATTCGGTATTTGTATACTTAACATAGTCCAGCAGTAGTTCCTTGCGAGTTGTGTAAGGAAGAGAAATGGGCTTTTCCGGTAAAGCCAAAATTTTTAATAAGCTATATGCTTCTTTTCCGATGAATGTGAGAAAATGTGCCACAATATTATTATCTTCATCATCTTCCTTGGTCATAGCCCAGATTTCAAACCTTTCCAAATAGTCCTCAAAAGCTTCAGAAGTTGAGTGAATATCTAACGGTTCCATCGCGACGCCAATATGATAATTAGAAGTATTTGAATTATAGTATGAACTAATAATCCGAGAAATAACGCAATTGAATCAAGAAGTACTACACAAGCACTAAGGAATGTGTACTATGAAGATCTTCTAGGACAGATTTACGCAAAGAAGGAGGAATAACAACACGATCATTTAAACACAAAATACCATCAGGAGTAGTAGATAGCTCATCCCGCTTTGAAAAATAGACAGGAAATCTACGTTTCAGATTAGCATTCTAACCTTTCTGTATAGCATTAATTATACATCCAAAGTATTTACGAGTTTCCCTAATGGGATCTGGACCTTTCACTGGTAAGGGTTGCACTAACAAACAGTCTGAAGTATTAACAGGTTTATCTTGTAATGAATGTCAAGAAATGCAGTCAACATGTTGAATTTGTTTGGCACTCAAAGCAATACTCCATCGATGAACCATAGCAGCTGAGGAACGTGCTAAGGATTTTTCAGGATGATAAATAAACTTTAAAGCCTCATGATCAGTAACAATAGTGAATTTCTTTCCGAATAAATATTTATGAAGTCTTTTAACAGCCCAGTACACAGCTAATGCTTCCCGCTGAGTCTGTGAATAACCCTGTTCAGTAACGGTACGTTTGCGTGAAACACAAATAACTGGTCTACCCTCCTATTCCAAAACAGCGCCAATACCCACAGGTGATGAATCAGTGATAAGCACAGACTGTACACTAGGGGAGTAAGTTCGAAGGACAGCATCACTTTGAAGAAACTTTGGTAGACTACGTAAGCATGACTTTTGTTCCTCACCTCATTTCAATGAATTGGATGTCAAAATATTAAATAAACAATCTGCACGACAAGAAAAATTAGCAATAAAACGGGAATAGTATTGAAGAACACCCACTAGTGAACGTAGTTCCGTAAGAGTTTTTGGAGACGGTGCATTTGTCAGTGGAGATAGTCGTTTCATATCTGGGCTAAAACCATTACCATCAACTAGGTATCCAAGACATTCAAAACTAGATACACAAAATGAACACTTATTTGGATTCACTGTAATATTCTTCTCAATTAAACGACGCAATAAGGCAATAAGTCTCTGGTCATGAACTACCTTGTCAGAACCATGAACAACGAGATCATCTTGATCAACTTCAATACCTTCAAGATCACTAACCACCTTATTCTTAACTTCCTGAAATATGACTGGAGAACAACTTAGACCAAATGGAAGGAAATTGTATTTGAACAGACCAAAAGGAGTGTTAATTGTCGTCAAAATAGGTGAGGATTGATCTAAAGGGATTTGAAGATAAGCATCTTTTAGGTCAAATTTCGAGAACACTTCAGAACCATGAAGTTGATCTAGAATATCTTCAGCCTCTACCGTCGTGCATGTTTGCTTCAACAAATGGGAGTTCAACGTTAATCTATAGTCACCACACATTCTGGGAGTCTTGCTGTCCGATTTCAGTGGCGTAACAATAGGAGTACCTCATGCTGAAGACTGAACCGGTTGAATTATGCCTTTTGCATACAAATCGTTTAATGTTTTATGTACTGCGTCTCGAAGACCATAAGGAATTATTCGTCTTTTAAGAAAGACTGGATCACCCTGTACTTGAAGTTTTATAGGCTGAATTTTCATACCTCCACTACACTTAGCACACGTGGCTATCAAATCTTTAAGTAAAACATCAGAATTTTTTAAAAAACTAGGAAAGACAGCTCCACTTTAAGCCTTTTCAAATTCCTTAAGCCCAGTATTGACAGTCCTGTTTCGCTAACTAAAAATTCACAAGGTATGTATGAAGACTTATCATCTCTTATTAGGAACTCACAACATCCTCGTATAGGCAGTCTGTGTCCAGTAATCCCCAATATTGATACCTCAGTGGGTCGTACCACAACGTTAGGATCTAAAGATTTCAAGTTCTCGAATGAAATAATGGACTCTATGCTGCCTGTGTCCACAATAAAGTCATAACATGAACCAAGAGATGTATATAATCGCTTTTGAATATGAGTATTACCTTTCGAAATGGTGTGGCGCATATGTATTTTGGTGCCTCCCTGTACCTATACTTATGTGTTAAAATAAATAAATAAATAAATAAGAC